CCATCCTTGCCCGCCTTCTCCGCAGTATCTGCCTAGTGCGCTCAGCGCCCCCTCCCTGCGCCTCCCCAGAGCGCGCCTCCCCGGGCCCCGCCTCCTCCGTGGAGGCCTCCCCAGGCCCTGCCTCCCGGGCCCCACCTCCTCGAGGTGGCCAGCCCAGGTCCCGCCTCATCGAGGTGGTCTCCCCAGGCCCCGCCTCCCTGGCCCTGCCTCCTGGAGGTGGCCAGCCCAGACCCCGCCTCCCCAAAGCTTGGCTCCTCCCTGAGCCCACCTCCTCTGGGCTGGCCCACGGCCCCGCCTCCCCCTGGACTCGCTGCGCCTGCGCAGTGTGAGCCTCACCCCTCCGCAGGCCCATCGCTGCACCTGCGCCTCCCCTGCCCGAGCCTGGCTGTGCGGCCCCGCCTGTTTGCGCCTTCTCTGCGGGTCTGGCCTTGCTTTCAGCCCACTAGTGTCTGATAAATATAAGAATGATAAATAAGAATGATAAATAAGAACAATTAACAGCAATGGTAATTATGCCTCGCATTCATGAGCACTTTTAATTAGTGCTTTGCAGATGATTGACTAACACATTCCCTCCATTTAAACTTCTGGTAGCAGGTTAGGAAGCGACCCTCTAAACTGACAGCGCTGATGCCTCTGAAGGCAACTTAATTACAAGTGAAAAATAAAACTTTAAAAGTATTTTCACATTTAAATTTTTTTGGAGACACTAGTGGACCTCCTGGAGTCAGGTGTTTTGTGGATATAAGACAAGGAGCCCCTAGAGCGTGGGGTCCTGATTGGCGTTGGTACTCTGGCCCTGGTGTGGCTGGGCGGTTTCCTGGATCCCAGGGGGCGTAGCCCTGGCTAACTTGCCCACGTACAATAAGTGGTACCTGGCAAGTGGTGTGGCATCCCTTAAACACATGTTAAGTGACTGGGATAAATTGGTTTGCTGGTGTTTTGCTTGACATCTGCGGGTCTCTTCTGGTTTCTTGCTCTTGTTGTCTTTGGGACTTAGCTGTGGTGGCTGCCTTGCTTGCCTGATTTCTCGCATTTAAGAGTATCTTTTTTTAAAAAGTATGTATTTTTAAACTCCAAAAGTATAAACTGTAATTGTAATGCAAAACAACTAAATTAATTTAAAGTATTCCAAATGATTAGCTTTTTTCATAAAGAGCTAATTATTTAAATTTTGGGCAAGTGATTAATGGTACACATTGGTATTATATAAAGTTTGTATAGTGTACCATAAAGTGATCATAAAAATATAAATATTATACAATATAGATTATTCCAACTGGCATAATTAAACATCAGAAAAAAACAAATTTATAACTTATTGCCAATCAGATGTACCATGTAAAAATTATGTTTCAAACTGAATAAAACATATATTATCTATATTACAAATATGTTCCATAATTTACAAATCATGAGCCAGGACTTTAAGGGGGACTTGGGTGGGTTTGACTTCCAAAAGTCTCTGTCACCACCCCCTCCCCAACAAGTACAGACTCTATAGAAAATGTGTGCTTGTCACAATTACAGCTTTGAATCCCCCTCCTCTTTGGAAATTATGTATTTGCATATTAAAGAGGCTTTAAAAAGGTAAAAATATGGATTATTAATTAAATTTGCATTTCATAAATAGTACACAATAGTGCTAAAGAAAACTGGACATTTGAAAATATAAAGCGACTAGGGGTTGCTTAATGAAGTGTCAATTCCCATGTATGGTTTCTGGCTACTGTTGCTCTTTGGTGTGTTTGGGGGACTAGAAAAGATTAGAAGTCATTGTGAAGAGCCAATAATTAATCAAACATATTTAATTTTTAGACTTAAATTGAAATAGTTGTCATGTAAAGATGACATGTGTCACAGGCAGCTTGGCTTTATGTAGTATGTCCTTGCAGTTTTCAGGAATGGGCCCTCTTGACCCCGCCTCTCCAGTGCAGCCCCTACAAAGGGGGTGTTTAAGGAGCCATACAGAGTTCTAGAACTCAAATGACGTACAATGCCCACTACCCTATTCCTTTCACTGGATAAACTACTCTGTCCTGGGCAGTTATCCCTTTGAGGACTAAGAGTCCCACCCAAACTTGCAAACCCCCATGTGAAGACTTGAGGCCTGTTATTTATTGGTAAAGGTCAGAGGTCCAAAATTGGTGACCTTGCAGGCCTTGAATTTGTCTGACCAGCAATATATTAAAACAAACAAACAAACCAGAGTTGAATGTCCCGTGGGCGGGGGAGAAATGCATCACGGCGTTACAGAGCTGCAGCCCCTCCCACCTTAACTCTGGTCTCCTCTCACTTTTCAGTTGCCTACTGTATACTAAAGACATTTGACTTTTCAACCTTTATTGGTCTTTTATTTCCCTAAACAATCTAGGGACTATTTGCTGATCTCCTAATTATTGGTATTTCTGTCCTTTTGTTTTTTGTTGCAGATATTAAAACCTGGGCTTCAATGAAGCCAGCCTCAATGGTTGTGATTGACATGTGGGTGGTTCACCTTCCTGGCTGGGGTCAGGCTGCATAATGCCAAGCTGGGAATGCCCTTTAGGAAGTCTGATTGCTTTGTTTTAAACGTGTTACAGTCTAGGTGACAGAAGGAGTGCCTTGGTCACCTGACCTGTGCTTATTAGTGGTTTTTAATGGGACATTAAAACTCCTAATTTAGTAAATAAAAAAATTGCATTATGTTGTGACCTTATATTATCAGGGTCACCAATACAATTGTCTTTACAGAGTTTGAAAATGAAACTTAATGTCACGGGTTATATGTTTATGGTGTTCTCTATTTTTTTTTTAAACTTGAATAGTTTATGTTGAATGCCAATTATTTGTTGTTTTTATAGCCTAAGTTACTAATTAAGTAGTGGAGTTAAAACTATTAAAATAACTACTTCCACCTAACTTCTCTGGATAACAATTGTTTGTCTTTTCAGCTTTAACTTTATGTATTTTATTTGGTGGCCATTTTTGCAGGTAAATCACAGTGAGTATCCAAAGAAGGATACTCTATTTTGAAACTATTGTTTGTTAAAAAGTTTGTTTTTGAACTAAAAAGTTCTTTAAACTTTTTTTAATTTTTATGTATTATGTTTTTAAACTTAAGTTTTTAAGTTTTAAACTTTTAAAAATTTTTTTTAAAATTTAACTTTTAAACTAAGAAGTTATTTAAACTTTTAAGTTACATTTTTAAACCTTTTAAAACTTTTATATATTATACTTTAAACTTTTTATACATTTAACTTTTCCAAATATGGGATTTGAGATTATTTACAATTTAAGATAATTAAATTAAATGCACTTACCTCTGGTTTCAAGAAGTACACAAGCAGACATTGTGTCATGATTCTGTATGTGTGTGATTTATTATCATCACATTCTTAATCGGAGCATTTATCCACGCACCCTGACCTCCTGTCACACACACACACACATCCACTTACCCCCCGGGGGATGCAGCAGTCTCCCACCGTAACATTCCAAGCCTTGGTTTGGGGCTATCCTGACAAATATTACTTGAAAACCAGGAATTGCAAACTGCTGACCTGCAGGACAAATAAGTTCTTAGATTTGCGTGAATCACACAGTATTTAAAAAAATAAAAACATCTTTAAATGAGAATTGCATGCTCATGTTGCTATGGTTGCAGCCCCTCCCTATCTTAATCCCACTGTATTTACACATAAAATTACTTTTCTGTTGTCTAACTAATAACTTATTAACATCAGCTAGCAGTTATTAGATACTCACCATGTGATTTACCTGAATTATTTAGCTAAATCCTCACAATAAGTTTGAGGTAAACTATGATTGGGCTTCTTTGAATGTCCTATTTTACAGCCCAGGACTTCCTAGGAGGCCTCAATTAATATTTCTTGAAGGATTGCATAATGAGGCAGGAAACCGACATGCATGTGTTGCCATTCACTGCCATCTCTGGCCCACAGAGAATTCTCTTTGGGAAATTAAAGTATGATCAGACAGTCATTTAGGCAGTCCTGTGGTTTTTGTGGTGGCTGTTGTCTGATTTGATAATCAGTGACCTTCGGTGGACCAGGGTTGTAACAGTTGGCCAGAGGCCCCACCCCCTAGGGCTGGTGAATACAAGCACGGTGATTTTAATAGCCCCCCCTTCTGATGTGTGGGTCCTTATTGGTTAGAATATAAGCCATTTTCCGCCTAACTTCTCTAATAACCAGTTATTATTTTGGCTTTAATTTGCATAATTTATTTGGTATCCATGTTTGCCTTGAAAGTTTCTGTTCTGTTCCCTCAATACAAAGCTACTTGTTTGGAGGGTGTTAACATTCCTTTACAGTCTATAAAGGTAAGCATACTGTTGGTGAAGTTTATATATTGTTGAGTCATGGTGAATGGGTAGCTTTTGATGAGGAGACGGTCATTTGGACTTTAGAAAGGCACGTGCTTTTTTATCTGCTGTCCTGATTGAAAACTTCTCTCTTATGTGAAGGTTTGTTTTGTTGGTTCGCTGATTATTAATAATGTAAGCGAGCAGAGCGAGGAATAATTTAAACACTGGACTTTTTTCTCCCCTGCATTATGCTGCTTTGGGTGTGTAAACTGAATTCACACGTTTATCTTTATTTGCAGAAATAAACGGGCTTTGAAATCCAAAAGGAGGAGGAGTGCACGAGGGGGCCTGGATCCAGGCCTCCTTCCCCGCAGCAGTGAG